AGGATTGGAGAGGAGCGGCGTTTGTGCCTGCTGGGCTGAGCTGGGAACTGCTGGCCTGGCCGCGGTGGGGTAGTTGAATGGGGAAATAACAGTGAGAATAGGGGTGGGCAAGAGAAAAGCCGAGGAGTAGGTGAATCATGGACTTGCAGAAGTTTGAAGCTTAATTTGAGACAGTCATTCGATATGAAAAAACGTGGGGCGGGATGGAGTCTGGAAGCAGACTCTGACCTCTGAGTCACGGAGGTTGATTCGGCTGTAGCTTCTGGAAGAAGGTGGTGCAGAAGTCACCTGCCTGCAGTAAGGGTGTAAAGGGGAGAGTTTCGGTCGGAAGGTGAGTTGCTGAAGAGTTTTGTTAGCATGCGAAAGGAAGATCGCTGTGCTGTCGAATTGTGAGAAAACGGGAGAATCTTGCCTGTTCCCATCATGTTGGCAGTAGTCTTGCTACTGAATAACAAGAATGGTTTGGGTCATAATGACGTGTTCTTAACTATGGTAATATGTAGGCTGAAGAAATGTCCAGTACAGTGGCAGAGTAACAGGATGATTTGCCACAATTCTGTGTGGCTTTGCAGTGGTTTTTGCTTGTGTGGTGTGTCATCTACCTCATGGAAAGCAGAGTTCCCTTACAGATGCAAGGATGGCTGGAACAGTTACTGCAGTCTTGAGCTGTACTAAACTGGCATACACAGCACTCCTGTGCTTCTGTGGTTCTTGTTTCCTCGGTCCTTCCCATATTCCTGTCTGTCTTTTTTTTTTTCTTTTGGCTTTAAAGAACTCTGTCCCGCTGCATTTCCTCCAAAATCCAAGTCTAGGGAGTTCATCTTTTGTTGTGGTGGAAGTTTTAACAAGCAAACAGTTGCTTGCTGTTTCTGAAGGTTATACTGCATAAAGTACGTGAAAACTCTTGAAAGCAAGCTCTGGTCTGGAAGCCACGGGGATGCTTTACTGCAATGCTGTACTGGGAAGCAAAATCTGGATGGAGGCAGAGCAAAAGCATGAATCTTCTTACCTGTGCAGGCAGTCATGCTCTATGGTCACTTCTCATATGAAAGAGATGCGTAGGAAAGATGCTTGTGATATACTGCAAATTCTTAAAATTTGATCCTGTACTTCTGGACAACACTCAAATCTACACTTCAGTCCTGCAAGAATTGAGAAGCAATAGGATTTTTTTTTTTCCTAGTTGCATGTGTGCTGCTACTAAAAGAATACATTTCTGTCTCCAAGAGCTATGACTTTTGATTCATGAGTACAGGTCACTTTGTGGAACTGCTGCTGATGGGCGCGCTATTAGCTGGTGCAATAGTGAACCTATATCTTAGACTAAGAATGTCTATTTCTTTGGGGAAAAAAAGAGATCAACATATACCAACCTCACAATTACTGACTTTTTGTAATTTTCTACAAATGTTTAAGTAATTTTAAAGAAGTTGAAATAATATGATTTTAGTAATAGCTTTTTATTTTTTTTTCTTAGAAAGTTAATGTACTGAATATATCATACATATACAGAAGTCCTTCATGTATCTATGAGTTTTTGTCTTAAATAATGTCTTTCCAGGATTTGTGGAGCAGACATCAGTAGTCTTTAATGTGTATGTCTGTGCACTTTCTGATACTGTTGTTCTGAAAACAATGTACGTTTTTTGAGGATATCTCTTTTGTGTTGTAACCTTGCAATGAAAGACCATAATTTTTCAGGTTGTAAAGATCTGGAAAGTGGGCTAGTATAGAGCATGTAACTTGAAGCACGTAATTTTAAACAATGGTACAGCTCCTGTGGAGGAAATTGTACATAGCATTCACACTGGTGGCTGAATACCTTGAAACCACAGTTGTTGGCTTTTTTTTCCCAAAGTTTAAGAATGTAAAATGCATCTGAGCATCCTGCTCTGTAAATTAAGATTTGGACTTTAGCTACTTCCATCCACTTAAAGAAAATATCCCATATTTTCTCATATTGTTTTCAGGAAGTTTTTGTTTGTTTTTTCCTTTATCCTTTTTTTTTGGTAACTTATCCTGTTGAATTCTAACAATGCACGTTCTCACCTTGCTGCAAGTATGTAGTCTTGTTTTTTTCCACTTTCTTTTTGCAACAATTCTTTATCAATTCTTTATCGTTCTTGAACTATTTTAAATCTTTTTTTCAGGTTATCCCATCCAGCCTATAATGATCCCCATGGTTCTGAATTCTCTCTAGATTTTATTTTTTGGGTAGTGACATGCATTTACAATAGTGTTTTATTTTTATATCAGAGCTGCTGACCAGGAGTAGATTGTGAGCTCTGTATCTCTAGTTCAAAAACTTTTGTTTTATGTTTGTCTAAGGTGATGCTTTTGACTCGCTGTCTGCTCTTTTATGATCGTCTTTCAGTGATTTAACAGGTTGTCAGGTAAATTCAGCTTACCTTGTGAGGAGTAAAAATACTTTAACATATGTTATTCTGAAATGCACTTGTGAGCACTGCTATTTAAATAGTTGTATGATAAAGACAAGAGGCCTTAACTTCAGTCAAAATGAAAGGACTTCTAAAAAACTTGGGGAAAAAAAGTATGTTATGGTTCATGTTACTCCTAGGAAGCAGTAAAAAGATTGGAAAAGCAGATGGGGTGAATAGAGGCTGGAGGCAGGGATGTGGTAAATTCCTGTTAGATGCAGAGGAAGGCTGAGTTATGAGTGGGAAGGGGACTTTAGTCAGTGGCTGGGCAATGCACTTTTTTTTTAAAATTAAAAAAACACCCACAAAACAATACTGGCTCATTTGTCTTTTTTATGCATTTGTGCCTTTTCCTATTACAACTAGTATATTGAGCAGGTGCTAGTCAAGGGTGCAGATGGATAAATAAATTCTTGGTTATGTTTGGCTGATGTAGCCTAACACTTTTTCAAGTTGAAAAAGTATTAGAAAATGCAGACTTTTTAGGAATGAAGCTGCTGATGTAATACATTAACATATGTTTCAGATATGGTAATGATAGCTTGCCTGTGAAATCTGTGGTTAAAATCTGGAGCAACACGTATGTGTGATGAATGGGAAGAAGAGGGTAAAAGCGAGCAAGGTGGGAGTCTTCAAAGTGTAGCAAACAGTGTGCTTAGTGTGTCAGAAGTGAATCTCCCTTTTGATCAAGGAGAGCAGACCACCGAATGATATACCTGTGATGACTTGAGTCTGTTTGTGGGAATTCCAGGTGACATTTCAAGACTGATTTCGTTGCAGTCTCCATTTGCCTTGGTATCCAGTTAATGGCCTAGCATGAGAGGTGACCCTGCACAACAACTAAAAAAATACATGGGAAAATGCATTTTACTGAAACACCGCTATACAATGTAACACAAACTCAGTATTTAGAAGCCACAGAAGAAATAAAAGGAGCGACATTGGTTTTGTGATCTGTCATTTTTTTTAATAACCATTTATTAATCAGGTCTGGAAATCAGTAATGTGATCATGGTGGAGCAGGTTACACACTTTCACTATCATCCCTTTCCTGGACTACCTTTTCCTTGATCTCTAAAGAACTAGGAAACCTACCTTTATCTAATAAATACTGAAAGGCAAGAAGAAAGGTTATAGAATCAAAACTATACTTAAGAAACCACTGAATCTATTTCTTAAAAGAATGCTCTACAGAGAACTTTCTTTCCTCAAAGTTATCTTTTATTATTTTTTTTAAGGTCAAAGAGAAAACTGAAATGACAAGAAGTTTTGCAACTTTTCTTAGTAGTTACATAATACACAATCAACTTTTTTTGCTGCTTATAGAGAAACCATGCCATTTTTGGGCCAAGACTGGAGATCACCTGGATGGAGATGGGTTAAAACAGAAGATGGATGGAAACGATGTGAATCCTTCAGTCCTGCACTTGAGGATGGAAATAATCGACTGAATGATATCAGTCATACTGTGTAAGTTAAAAAAAAAATTAGAAAATTAAATTCTTCTTTATGAGCTAATAGCAGGCAGGAAGGCAAAGACTGACTTAATTTCCATTCTGACTGCAAGTGTTTGTGGTAGATGTCATGTGTATCTGCTAGAGGTGTACAAATGCAGCCATGTGTTTTGTTTGGTTAGGCAGACAGGAGAACCCCACGGAGATTGTCTTCTGGCACTGCTTTGTGAATTGCTTATTTTAGGCAGACTGATCCCATCTTTTGTTCTATGTTTTTAAAAAAAAACACCACCAGAGAACAAAACCTGTGAAGTGCTACTGAAAGATAAAAGTTATACTTAAAAATTTCAAGTACAACAGGCATATTGAAATGTTACCTGGAAGTGAATGAAGACTTTCTGCTGATTTGGGTTAGGACTGTTTATGGCAGTCATAGAATGCCTTTGCTCTGAGTGCATAGTTAATGGTAGATCTGTGGTAATTCTCTGATGTAACATGTGACTGTATGTGCTCCTGTAGAACAGGTAAGAAAGATATTAGTTAAATAATACACCCACAAACTGGTGTGGTATAAATAGCTTCATCCAAACAAATTTTTACTTGGTTTCTCCACAAAGAAGTAATTCTCCGGGATCGCGTTCTTGGCTGTAAATTCCAGCATAATGTGCTCATAATGAGAAAAGGGAACACCCGGTGTTTTGTTGTTAGACCAGTAATTCATACAATACCTGGTCTGATTTAGAGGGAATTTACTGGCAAGCTAGGACTTGCTGTATTCATACACTTGTGTTTTCTAAATCTGAGAAAGAAACCTCAAGAGAGATATCAAGCAGTGAAGAATTATTAATGCGCTTATCTTGACCCACTGTTTTCTTGGTTCTTTTTTTCTTTTTGCATTCATCTGTGGCTGATCTTATTTGGGTTTCTTTTTCCACAGTCTTGCCATTGTGGATACAAAAGACTGTGCTTATCTGGAAGAGTGTTCAGTAAGGCTCCAACATAAAAGTTGCCTTTAATACCTTTGAAAAAATATTTTCTTCCCTATTTTATATACCTTAGTTGACAAATGAAATCTAATTTAATTGTGATAACTATTTGCACAGTTACTAAATAATTGTATCTTATAGGTTGATTTAATGAGTATTGTTTGGCAAGTGTGACATAAATGATTGTGACTACCATTAAGACTTTTGCTCTTCTGATCTTAATTTTATATATATATAATATCTTTTCTCCAGAGAGCAGGGTGAGATATTTTTATTGCTTCTTCATGCAAAAATACTAGATTTTTTTTTTCCTTAGTCTTGAAAGAACTTAGTATTGAACTCCTCTGGAGTTACCTTGCTAGAAACAGATTTAAATCAACTGATTTTGGAAAGATATGAGCATTAAAGTTCAGGTGTAAAATAGGTACATTAATTTGAAGGGACTAGCCATGAAATGCTCTGGGGAGAAAGAAATTTACATTAAATTTGAGATGTTTCATGATTTGGGTTTCTTTGGCTAGTTTATCAATTTGTCAGAATCCCAAACTCGGGGACCGACATAGTCTGCAGCAGATGCCCTCATCTGTAGTGATTCCCAAGTTCTTTGTCTTCATCTTACACATCTACTTAGCAAAACCAAACCACACTGTGTTCTGTGGCCCTGTTTTAATTTTTCTGCGTTCTGCTTCTGTCCATTCAGTTAAAAATTTTGTTGTCCAAACTTAGCCTACAAAATTCAAGTTGGTACTTCTCAGCAAGGTAGCTCTACTTGGAAGTAGTTTTACTACACCTTGAACTTTGGATCTATGACTACAGCTTGAACTTTAGATCCGTGAGTTAACCTTTGCTGCTAAAGAAGAGCAATTAATGTCTATTTGCACGATATTATAGAACAATTTAGGGTGGAAAGAACCTCTGGGGGTCATCTGGTCAAGGCCGACAGAGGCCAGGTTTTATCAAGTCCTGCTCAGTTGAGCTTTGTGCATTTCCAAGAATGGAAATGCCTCTCCGGGTTCCTGTTCTGTCACCGTCATTCTGAGGTCATTTGTTTGTTTGTTCCTCCACTTCCCCCAGTAAATCCAGTAAGGATTTCTCTTATCACAGATTGTGTCCATCACCACTCAACTTATTCCTACCCACCTCCTCTAACCTTACCATCTAGCTCCATCTTATTTATACCCTCAGCTTTTGACAGTAATCAGATTTTTCTCCACCATCACCTCTTAACACTCATGCATAACGTGTTCCAGTAGCGAATTACCTCAGTAACTCCCCACTGGATTTGTTCCAATACGCCAATGTTTTTATCGTATTGGGGAGCCCCAAACTAGACACAGTTTTCCTGATGCAGTTTCTCATGCCAGATAAAGGGGAATGATTACTTCTTTCAGTCTGCAGGGTGCATTTTTGTTAATCTAGACCAGAGTACAGCTTGTTTTATACAGCACAAGGGCACACTGCTGACCTGTGTTCAGCTTGTTACCATGATCCCTGGCTCCTTTTTCTGCCACACTGCTTCCCATCCAGTTTGTACCCAGTATATACCCAGGTGTGGGCTGCTGCTGCCGCATGTGCGGGGCTTCCTGTTGAAGTACAGCAGTGTCGTGTCTTGCTGGCTGGTTCCCTCTGCCACCTCAGAATCATAGAATGGCCTAGGCTGGAAGGGACCTTAGAGATCATTTTAATCCAACCTCCCTGTCACCAGGGACGCCACCTCTCGACTAGATCAGGCAACACATGGGGACCGAACGAGAATCAAACCCATGACCTTAGCGTTGTTAGCGCCACACTCAACTGACTGAGCTAACCGGCCCCCTTAAGCTATTTGGAAACAATTATCTGTGTATATTGAATAGACAGCTCAGCTTAGGATGTCTTTAACATGATGTAGCGCTGAGTAAGAATAAGCCTTGATAAAATGCTTCCTTCCTTGTGGAAGAATGTGTAAATACTTATATTTATCTCTATTTAAACTGCCCTCTGAATAGGGTTGATGTCGTATGCCAGCCTGACTGCCCTAACAGTTTGGGGTTTTTTATTTTCACCTATTAAATGAAATAATATTTTTGATTAAAATATTCTGTAGAAATCTATGCTAAAGGTACTACTAGAGTATTGTAGTGCAGAGAGGAGTTACGGCAGTCTTCCTTTAAAAAGACGGAAAATCAAGCTATTTAGTTGACTGAAGCCCTCTTTACTTTTACTTCTCTTCTGGGAGAGGAAGTATGGATAGAGTTGCTTACCAAACATTGTCTTTTATCCGTTACAAATATTTCTCTTCAAAAATTAGAAAAATGCTACGCACAAATAGATTCAGAAATAAACCTTCAAGGCATGTAAATAATTTACCTAAATCGAAGAATATACTTTTACTAAAATAGTACTTTTTACCTTATTGAATAAGTTATCCAGTGCCTTGGTGAATCTAGCTGAAGAATTAGTCAAAAATGGTGGACCTAATGATTATCATGCTTGAACAAACCTAACTCTGCAGAAGCAATTGAAATTTAGGATGTCGGGCAGTGACAGGACTAGAGGGAATGGATTAAAGCTAGAGATGGGTCGGTTCAGATTGGACGTTAGGAAGAAGTTCTTCCCCATGAGAGTGGTGAGACACTGGCACAGGTTGCCCAGAGAGGTGGTGGAAGCCCCATCCCTGGAAGTTTTTAAGGCCAGGCTGGATGGGGCTCTGGGCAGCCTGATCTAGTGGGGGATGTCCCTGCCCATGGCGGGGGGTTGGAACTAGATGATCTTTGAGGTCCCTTCCAACCCTGACAATTCTATGATTCTATGAAATGATTTGGAATAACACTTGAATAGTTGCACTTTAAAACACTTTGATTTATGGAAACTGAGATGGGGAAAAATGAGACCCTCAGTTGTGCAGCTCTTCGTTATTTGGTGTTATTATATGAGCGAAGAGTGGCTTGTATTTGAGGTATATGGCAGCTGGAACTGTGACTGAGGCAGTGCTCACTCAAGCTCTGGGCCACAACCACCTGCAGTTGGTAACTATGAATTGTAGCGCAGATAGATATTTCCAGTGCTGGGGCATTGTGTCCTTGACACTTGGTGGGGGAGAGAGAGCAGTGCTGCCTTGCCGAAGTGATATAAATACCTTTCAGTAGCCTGCAAGTTAGGAGTAAAGCTGTCTTATGCTTTCCCTTTGAAGTAAAATATAGAGAATCAACCTGATCTAGTAAGATTTTAATTTTTGTGTGTGTGTGTTTGTGTTAGGCTCACGTGAACTATGTAGCAAGGCAGTCATTTGAGTCTGTGGTGTCTCTTGTCTTGTTCTATGGGATATGGTGTTCACAAGTGTTTTTGGCACTGCATAGAAATCCTTAGATTTGAATCTAGTCTTGGATAATTTTAGCGTTTGACAAGCACATTATAACAGTATTTGGTGCAGGCACTTACCTCAGGATTTTCAGTGCATGGTCAAGTTGTAAAATGACTTTGAGTTTCTTCTAAAATACTTAGTGTGTCTGCGTAGTTAACTGCATGACTTGAAGATATTCCTTCCTCCGTGAGAAGAGAAGCAAAGGGATGAGGAAGAACAGGTGGAGTTTGGATACCCTGTCAAGTCTTCTATCATTTTAAGCATCATGCCCACGAGGTTATTTAAGTACTGCTATGAAATTACTTTTCTCAAAAAGCTGAAATTCTTGCATGCTTTATGTAGGGCATTGTAGTTTTAAGGACACTGGGTATTTTGCTTTTAAAAGCTTTAGAATAATCTTTTTCTGAAGAAGTACATCATCAAGACAAGTAAGAATAGCTATAAATTGACAGTGTTATGTACATATTTAAATCCTTCCAGGTGCACTCAGATTTCATGTGCCGTATTATGTTAAAAACATTAAATTAAGGCTTCTATTGCACCATATGGCACATGCAGCCCCGTTTCTTGTATCTTCGCTTGGTGGGGGAACGGGAACGGGGTTGCTTTTGGAGATGGTGGAGGAGCTTTGTTAGTCACGGAGCAGGTTTGAGGTTTCTGGAAGGAAGGCTGACAGTTGCTGGGGACGTGCCTGTATTTCTGTCCTATTCTTCTGATGTCTGTGAGACCCTTGCTTTCATTCTCAGTCTGAGAATGGTGATGGTTGCAGGTAAGTAGGG